ACATAAGAGGGGCTTAAAGGTGTAAGCGCGAGGAGCTCACAAGTTAAATCTAGATTTAATTTGGTTAATTTGATCTTTCATGCATGTTTTCTGTGTAAAACACATCATTGGGTGAAACACAACCAACATAGAGTATTGAAAAAAAAAAAAAAGACTATGAAATGAGTGAAGAGTGAATTATGGACAATGACAATACCTGCAGTCTACACTCTGAGATGATAAGGAGCGTGTTCCTCAGTAGTAATACCAGCAAGTTAGACATTGCCATGTTAACGATGATGATGTCCGAGTTACGTCCCCAGTTACGCTCCAAGATTATGCTCTTACCAATGACCAGAATCACAGTGGTATTGCCCAGAATTCCCATTATCACCAGGATAATGTAAAAGGCAGTTTGTGCAGGGGAAACAAAGATATGCATTCCCATCCCTGCAAGATCTTTTCATTGGTCCGAGAGGCTGCTCATTGTTCCACAAATAAATAGACCAAGCTGTAAAGGAGTTTTAACAGCTCACGAAAAGTTCTGAAGAAATTTTCATCGTTGATTTGAATGAATATCAAGTGAAGATATATTAGTTATTATCCTCGAACAAGCTAGTAAGACGCTGGACTGTAGTTAACTGGCCTTTTGGTTGATTTTTTCCGTTTGAAGATGGAATCACCTGCGTTACTCCTCCATGGACTTACTGGAATAAAATGATCTTGCCTGTATCATTGGAGCTGTGCTCTTGTAACACAACCACTGTTCAGGCCACAGAAAATTACAAAGCATCCACAATATTCGAGTCCTCGGAGAGCATGAGGCGTATATTAATGAAACACAGGAGATTAATCTACTTGCTTGCATAAACGCGCTTCCCTTGCAAGTTTGCTACCATCATCCTAAGGGAAGTGAAGGCTGTTTAGTGTGTGGTCATGAAACCTACTAACAGATATTCCTAAAGAAAATCAATACTTTGCACCTTTTTACAATAAGTAAATTAGTGGGAATTCTTCTCTCCTTATTCAGGACAAGTTGCAGCGTTCACCAGTAGAAATTTTACAGTTTCTTGGCGCTCTAGGCAAAAATGCACAGAGGGTTTCTCCATTTATGTTATAAGGTTACGTTAGAATGTATTTGGTTCAAATCCAGGCCAAAGACTTTCTGCATGGTCTCTCTCCACATGCACCAGCTTTCTATTAAGGTCCAAGACAAGGCAGACTTATTAGGTTAATTGGTGGTTCTAAATTGGGCCTACTTGTGAATATGAGTCGGCCTCTGTGTTAGTCATGTAATGAATTGGCGACCTGTCCAGGATGTACCCTGCCTCTCACCCTGTGACAGCTGAGATAGACTCCAGCCCCATAACACTGAATTGGATTAGCAATTAAGGAAAGATAGGAGTATTTTTATCACCAACCGAGCGAGGCTTCCTTCTTATTTGTGTCATTAATGCTAGCAGCACCCAGCAGGGGGTATAATCATCTTTTTAAATTAGATGACAGGTTGCACTGAGTCAGAGTAACAAAGACAAGAAAAAAGAAAAAGTTTCTGAAATGCGAGATGTGCAACGACAAAATGCATTCTACATTGCATCGAGGGATCAAATCAGTGCTCCAGTTAACATCTTTATCCCCTTTGTGAACGCATAAGTTACTTATTTATGAAGCAGAACATCACTTATACTCATCCTAAATGAGTGCATTATGACAAGAGAACAGGAAGTTTCCCAATTTACTTAGTTTTCAGTATCTCAGTATCTGTAGGGCTGCATCAGGAAGGTCATCTGGCATAAAGACTGAGCAGGTGAAAGTAGCCTCTTGATTACAGCTAATGACCACTAGATGGCGCCTTAAACAAACCAAATACAACACACAGGACAAAACAGCATAGTTTCTATTTATTTAATTCATTTTTTAAACAAATGTTTATTTACTCTGTACAGCATTAGTTAGTAGACAAAACTGTAAGTAAATTTAGTAGCGTTACATACAAAGTCAGCACATTTAAAAAAAGAAATTCACAGTACATATGTCTGATCAGCACCTTTGGAGGCTAAAAATACAACTATCATCTTCATAATTTACAAGTATCAAATTTAATCCCATCAGCTTTAAAAACATTTATATATATACACACATCAGTTATGATAACGTGGAGACACATTCAACTGTGAGATTAGTGTGTCCATCAGAGAAAGGAAAATATAAAATATTGACTGCATATCATCTGTTCAGGTAGGTAACACTTTCTGACTCATTCATGATCAGAACATGTTGAACTGGTTTGATATAATAAACCATGTAACTAAAGAAAGATGATGAAAAATGCTCTGACACATCTCCTAATGTGTTTTTTTTTTAAATGAAATCCTAAAATGAACGGGTGATTTTGCCAAACAAAGCTACAGCCCTGTTAAAGTAATGAAACTAAACAGTTTCTGATCATCTGCCAGAGAAAGTTTTCACGGATTACAAAATTTCAGCTGAGATCACAAACCTCTACCTTTTATTCAAAATTTCTCAAACTTTATTAGAATGATTTAATATTTGTTTAAAAAAAATCCAAGTGCATTTGTAAATGTAGCCATAATTAAATGGTAAAATAATGCAGTAAAGTGGTTTCAAGTTTTAGCTGAGCTGTGTAAAGACTTTCACAGAAGCTCCAGTCTTGTTACCGACCTGAATTGGTGCCTGCATCTTGAGTAAGGAAGAGAAAACAAAATGCATCTCAGCCTGATAATCAGGGTACTATAGTTCAGCTGCTCAGGTCACAGATGAATGGGGCACTTAAGTTCTTCATTTCACTGCAGGCATGCTTTCACTGGCGACTTCTCCAGCTGATCGTAAAACAGATCTTGCTCCAGGCACTGTAACCAAATCTCCATTCAGATTCTACTTAAAAATAACCCAAAAAGTAACTAATTTACAAACAGAAGACTAAAATTGTATAATATACTTTTAAGAAAAACAAGAGCTTATTTCAAATAAACAAAAGTGCACTCACTTCAATAACTATCATACTAGCTCTCAATGCTGTCGACAGTTGTGGTCAGAAGTTTACATTCACTCACTGTGGGCATGAATGCCGTGGTAGTTTTGAGCTTTGAATGATTTCTTTTAACTGCTCTTTCTCCAGGGTGGAATGATTGTACAGCATTCATCTTTAATGACTTGACAGAACAAGAACTGGATGCTCAAGTTTGAATTTATTTAGGTTTTTCTCTAATCTGCACAGGGTCAGAAATATACATACAGATGAGTTTCTCTTCATCAGTATAAAAAGGATTGTTTGACAGCAGTCATTGGATTGCCATTGGTCAAAGACCAAGGAACTCTAAGGAGAACTGTAGATTTACAGAAGTTAGGAAGGCCTCTTGGAGCCATTTCCAAACAAATGCAGATTCCAAGATCATGAGCTCAAAAAGTTGTGCATAAGTACAAGTTATTCAGATGTGTCTCCACTTTGGGTCATCTTTCAGATGTTGGCAACCTGTCACTCTCAGAAGAGAGTAAACATGTAATGACACTGAATCTGCTGAAACATCACCATCACTGTCCACAGGGAAACTCGTTTTACATCACCATGGACTGAGCAGTACCAACGAAGAAAAAAAATGGAAAATTTGTAGCTTCTGATGGTTAAACGAGACAAAGTTTGAGCTATTTGGCCACAAAGAGATAAGTTTGAAGAAGTAAAGGTGAAGCTTTCAAGTATGGTGGTGGTAACATCATGCTCTGGGATGTTTTGATAGCAGTGGTACTGCAACATTACACAATGTGGATGGAATAATCAAGAAAGACAACTACCCTAAATTCACCTCCAATCAGTAGTTAGAGAGATGAAACTTGCTAGATGTTTCAAGAGAACAATGATCCCAAACACACATTGAAAGTGGTTGTCGTTGTTTATTATAAGTTTCAACTTGGGTAGAAAAACAACAGAATATGAGTGAGGGTGTACGTATACTTTTGACCCTGTGTGGATTAAAGAAAATCCAAAATAATTTCAAGCTTGTGCACTCAGTTCTTGACTTTTTAAAGCCATTAAAGGTGTATTGTGTTTAATCATTCCACCCTGGAAAAAGAACAGTTCATAGAAATGATTAAAAGTCCTAAATGACCTTGACATTAATGTAAACATCTGAGCACAACTGTATGTGAGTGTTTGTACGTGAATGTAAATGTGACTGATACCTCTGACTGATATGGATAAGAGAGAGAGAGAGAGAGAGAGAGAGACAGCAGAAAAAGAGCGAGAGAGCGAGTTTTGAGATGTGAGAGATTTGTGACGTTTAGCGTGTTTGGAGTGTGTAGTTAATGTGTTGTCTTGTGTAGTTAGTGTGTAGTGTTGTGGATAGTTTTGTGTCATGTGTCAGAACAATGAGGCGACTGCTGTCTCCAGGTAGAAACAGGAGTGATACACCTGCTGCTGTCAGACCTGCAGGTATCAGGCTGTGATGTTCTCCTTTATAGTCGACAGAAATTATTGTTTTGGAGTGGCACAAATAATTTATGTGGCATCTTATTGAATGCAGAACAGCTGATTGTTCTGTAAATAGTTTATTTAAAAAATCAAGGTAAAAGGTAAATGGATGCAAATAACTTTGTTTGCAAAACTTGTGCATAGGATTTTAAAATTGACAATTTATATTTGCATTTAAAGTTATGAAATATGATTCATTAAACATGTTTGTGGTTGTTACAGTAAAAAATATAACTTTTTCTACTCTGATTTTATGTTTTTTGTCTGATTTTAGATCAATTGTGTTAATACAGTATGTCAAAATGAAAACATAACTGTAAATTCAGACACGTGAGGTTGTGCTGAAAACAATGATGCCAAACAAGGCAAAGTAAATAGTTTTTAAAGGTGAAATGTAGAGTTCAAATCAAAAGTGGTTAAAATGACCAATTATACCCTGGACCCCAGAGGGTTAAACGTTTTTTTAAAGTAACGCAATAGTTACTTTTCAAGTAATGAATTACTTTTAGAATATTGTAACTCAGTTACTAACTCAGTTACTTTTTTGAAGAAGTAACTAGAAACTATAATTAATTCCTTTTTCAAAGTAACTTGCCCAACACTGCTGATGTGGCATATTGTCTTCCCGCATTGCCAGGAAAAAAGATTTAATTACGTGGCATGTGTATTTGTTCATCTTTGTTGGTGGTGGAGTTGTTGAAAAAGCCTTTTCCTGACACTAGAATTAATTTCAAGATGATATATTCGCATCCAACTTATTTAGTGCTTGAGTGGTTTGCTTTGGCTGCCTGATTGGTTTAGACTGGTTGTTAACCCCACTGTCTGGAATCTATCAGAGAAAAGAGACAGAAAAACATAAATTTGCACTTCCTTTAACCTTCTGCACGACCACAATTGCAGAGGGAAACATGCAAGTGGTGATAATTAGCCCAGCTAACCTCTGTGAGTCGTGGCAGTGCAGCACAGCCCGTCTCCTCGGCCCGAGCTGTAGATGGGGGACACACACACTCGACTGTTTGGTGCAAGATGGGTGAGCTGCGTTGAACGGGAGCTAGGAGGTAGGTACATTGAGGAGGTGGTGCTGTGGGGGTTTTCTGTCTCCCATTTGATCCAGTAGCCTCTTAATCCTCCCTGATAGGCTTGCCACTTTACTTGCATCTCCTCCACCCCCAAGTCCTGTTGTTTTACTGGTTCCAGCTGAAGGTCGATTAGAGCAGGCAGAGCTTCTGCAAGAGGGAACAGAGGCAAAGATTTAAGCAGCCTGGTTATAAGTAAGGCTGATACAGAATCTACAAATAGCAATTATTTAAAAACAACAAAGAGAAGGACTAAACTGGAAGAAGAAGAAGGAATATCAGTACCTGCCAGTGTGCAGGCTCTCACAGACATAGCTCTTTCTTTTCCATCCACCTGCAGAGCAGTGACTGTAACCAGGTACTGAGTGCCCGGCTCCAGGCCGGTCAGTAAGGTTGAATTTTTCTGCCTGGGTAAGGTCACAGTGCGGACATGTGAACTGGGAATAGCTCCGTACTCCACTGTGTATTGCAGTACCCGAGCCGGCTGCAGAGGACCCCAGCTTACACGGATCTGACGAGGACCATGATCTGACAGGTGGACCACTGCTGGGCTTAAAACATCTGAGGAGTGCACAAGAAGAAGGGACACACACAGCAGCAGGTGAGAAGATGCCTTTCAGGATTAAATTTTAACTTTTGGTGCTAAAACACTGGTAGTATCAGTTTTAACTTCCTGTAGAAACCCTAGCATGCTTTAAACTGCAACTGAATGAGTAAAATGGGGTCTTGTAATATACTGGGCTTAAATGCAGGTTTCAGTCATTATGCAAATGTTCTGTGTATAAGGTTGGGGAAACCTGCAGTCAGCTGAGACTGAAGAAGTCACTTGGATGAGTGACGAAACATTTCTCCAACTGAAAACGCTACGTCCAGATGAACAGAATCGACTTTTGGAGAGTTCAAATGCCACCTATTGACCAAGTCCTTTGGCTTTTGACCATGGGTTTCTTGTAAGGCACTATATAAATCTTATTTATTATTTATTATTATAAAAATTCATCTTCAGAGCTGCAAACTTCAAAAATACATCAGTAAATAGCTTCAGACTTGCATGGAAACCTAAATAAAAGGAACATAATAACATCTGAAATCTGAATAAAAACCATTTAACAATTACTCTGTGAACATTGTTTAAGTAAGATTATGAGAAATGAGCCAAAGCTCCTTAACTGGTGCTTTTGGTGAAAGATATGCCAGCATTTCTACCAAGCTCTTCAATTATTTTTCATTTTAGGGAAGCATCACTGTATTATAGAATCACATGCATTAAAAGAGAATTTTCCCATTAAATGTTCTTTACCAGGAAAAGTAGTGAAGGTTACGGTGAGTGTATTAAACACTGCCTGGTTGGACTCTGGGCGGAGGGACGCTGTGTAAGTCGTGTCAGGCTGCAGATTTTTCAGCTCCGCCCTGCTGGAGTCTCCCATTAAAGTACGTCTAATCTCACGACCTGGTTTGCTCACGGACTTATACCAGAGTTCATAATAACTACTGTCTTCACTCAGAACAGGGCGCCACTGCAACACAGCGCTGTGGGAGGTCAAATCAACCACACGCAGCCGTTCAGCACGAATGATTTCTACAGATGAGATAAGAGAGGAGAGGCAGACATTAAACACAAAACTGGAGAAAATAATTCTGGAATTGAACGTCATTCACCATCTGCTGAGTCTACAATAGACCGCATACCATATTTCAAACACACAAATACACACCTATCATGGCCTTCCTCAGGTCCTCTGTGATGATGTCAATGTTGTCTATGTCCACAGTGTATAAGTGAGAGTCCAGCGGAGGTGTCACCACACGTTTTAGCACCTGGTAGTTCCCATGTACAGTTGACACTATTAACACGGAGACTCCCCGCGTTTTCAGCTCTGACATTGGTCTGTCCACGTCACCAGGCTGCACTCCGTCAGTCAGCCACAGGAGAATCTTTGGCACTTTCACATCCGTCTCCGTCAGCAGCTCGCGGGCAATGCCGAGCGCCGCCTCAGTGTTAGTGTCTCCTTTCAGCTGCCTGATGCCCTGCATGGCCGACTGCAGACTCTCCTGATTGCTGTGGACGTCGAAGCCAAACTCCAGGTGAGGGTCGGTGCCCACCTGCAGCAACCCCACTCTCACATGCCCACGGCCCAGTGAAAAGGGACGCAGCAAGTCGGCGGCGAAGAACAACAGACGAGAGAATTCATAGTTTGCTATACTTCCCGAGGAGTCCAGCAAAAGGAGAATGTCCCCCTCACAGCAGTTCAGCACTACACAGAAGAGGAGGAAAACTGGAAGGTTACTTTCAACATGTGGCAATGATCCTCCATCATAGAGAATTCAAACAAGTAGTAGCTGTATTATATTTAGTTATTTGGTTCATTAACTAAACCTGATGCACTTCCTTCACCATTTATTTATGTTCTTACCTGTTTAAATTTGTTATGCTGCTTTCCTGGGTATTCATTTTGTGTGCTCTACTCCTTTCTTAGATAATTAGTGCCTTTATCCCTCGAGTCATCCTCTGCTTCCCTGCTTTGTGTCTTTTGTTGATTTTTATTTTTGCTTGTAGAATCATCACAGTTAACTGAAGTGTTTTTAAGTTTTGGACTACATTTCCCATGTGTACATTTGGATCTTCTTGTGAATGCACTCAACAGAGCCATGAGAGCAAGCTTGTTAAGGAAAATATATTATAAGCATCATATTATGAATACAGAAGACTGTTTAATTAAACATCTCACAGAAGTGCATAACACTATGTTTGTGTTACCTGAATCAAAACTGAATCAAAATCCTTCCCAAATTTTATAGAAATATTCATAGCTCTAGTTTTCATCTTTACTGATCAAGTGTTTCGTTTTTTAGCTCCAGTATGTTCATTAGCTGGTTGTTTTTGTGTGTCTCTGCTGCATCGATGAATGCCACAGAGGAGAGCAGTGACGGCGAATCTAATTAGTTAAGGCCTGTAAACAACAAATCTCTAAAGTTAAAGACAACATAATCAAAGAGTCACGGATGATAAATGTGTGCGGGTTCTTTATTACATCTAACAACTCACATTTCATCAAACGCAACATGCAGACTTCAACTCATCGAGATATCAAGGAATCAATTGACTGTCAGCTCAAAATATTAAACACAGCTGAGGCTGATGGCACAGACTCAGCTTTAAGTCTGAGGCAAGAAGAAGAAAGCACTACCTCAGGGTTTCAAACAATTTGACAAATTTTATGCCAATGATTCCAGTAGTTGTTAAGCTACTTTAAATCAAAGTGATCTAGTTTTTCTTAGGAACTGCCACTCATTCTTTTGTGCCACACATGTCCAATTTTAATATATTTTTTTAAGCACATCTACTTTTCAGCTTTCTTTGGGGATCATCTAATTGAAAATACAATTTTTTACCTGTCAAACTGGGTCATTTTTTAACATTTTGCATAAATTCATCTAAAGTAACACGAATAAATTCTGTTTACATGACAGGCTGCTAGTATCAAAGAGCCTAAAGATATTGTTTAAAATGGGTTCTTTACCAAGTTGTCTGTTATGTGTAGACACAACACTGGTTGACCTCAAGTTAGGCGTCTTTTTAATGCTTTAATGATTCATAGGTCACACTGTTTATTAGGTTAACATGCAAACAAAAACATTCCTCTGAAAATAGTCACAATCACAAAAGGAAGAAAATGAACCTTCATTCCTTGAAATATTTATTCAGAAAACAGTGACAGAAGGAACGTAAAACTGTTTCTCTGCTTCTCCTGGAATCTTTTCAGACAAATCTGAGATGGTCAAATGGGAAGCATTTGATGAAATGACATGAAATGACACTATATTTAAAAAAATATTAGCAATAAAAGCAATATTAGCATAATTTGCGCAGGTTGAATGACAGCTCAGGCAGAATTTTTTTAAATTAGTTTTAATAGAAAATGTTCCAAAAAAAATTGTGTCTTAAAAGGTTGGCTCTTCCTCCTTAGAGAAAGTTTAAAATCTTGACAGTGACAAATGACGCCATCATGACTCTATTAGTGTCAAATAAAAAAGCGACACTGCTTTCATGTAACCCATACAAAGCAGATCTTATTGTCACAGGTGCAGTTACTGTCCGCGAGGAGGCATTGATATAAAGTATGACATGGAGTTGGCGTATATGAGGTGTCTTATTTCATACATAACTGAGAAAAAGCCTCTCTGCTGCTCCCAACACACGTCAGAAAAAACATTTCACCTAGAACACTTCAGGTGCAGCGATCGCAGAGGATTTATGATAGCAAGGAACCAACAGGATTGGTCACAGAAGGAGATTTATTATATGAAAGTGGAGATGGGTTTACACTGCAGATAAATCAGGAAAAAAAAAAGAAGAAGAAGAACCAATGCGGTGAGAAAAAGGGAATATGTATCCAGTTTCTGTAGGATCTCTCGACTTGAACAAACACATATTGGTTGCATTGCTTCTGAGAAGCAATTGTGGCCAATTTTGTAATCAAACAGGTGTCTTACTGGGATAATTTTAAACAAGAAAAAAAAAATCAATCCTAACTACAAGCACCATCCTGCCTGCATCCAGTTAATGATTGAGCCACTTATCTGCTCTGACAAACTATTGTGCTCTCTCTGCATGTGACTTCTCCTAAATTCATGCCTGTGGTTCACAAAATGCTCTATATTTGTAATATTTGTGATATATCACATCTGTTGCAAATAGACTGACATTGGTACTTAGCATAGTTTGGACAGAAGTTCGGATTAAAAGAGGTGATTCTACACAAATAGAGTTAAGTCTATTTATCCCTCATATATGAGATGATGATGAGATGAGATAGCCTTTATTTGTCAGTTGCAGGTCTTTTGCCCACA